ATACCCCTGAGCAAACTTGAACTACGCTACTGGCTCAGTACAAGGGGGTGCAGGGCCACTTTGAGGGGTAACAGCTTTAAACTGGAAGAGGGTAGATTTAGATTAGCTGTCAGGAAGTAATTCTTTACTGCAAGGGTGGTGAGACACTGGCACAGGTTGCCCAGGGAAGTTGTGGATGCCCCCTCTCTGGAAGTGTTCAAGGCCAGGTTGGACAGGGCTTTGGGCAACCTGGTCTAGTGGGTAGTGTCCCTGCCCATGGCAGGGGATTGGACTGGATGATCTTTAAGGTCCCTTCTAACCCAGATCATTCTACAACTGTATGATTCTATGAATAAAAGTCAGATCTATTACTTACCTATGCCACACTAACAGAACCATACAGTTGCATGCATTAATCACAGTATCATTCTTTATTTTTTCCACATTATATTGGTTTAATAATTTCCTGCAAGAATGTTCTTAAGCATACTAATAGAGAATTCACAAGCAAACAAAACTAGAATATGTTATGCAGTATTTAAAACCACTGTTAATCGAAGTTCTCTCTTAGTGGTGACACATAGCAAACAAATACCCAATGAATCTCTGTTTACTCTTCCTCACCACCACCCCCACCCCCCCGAAACACTATGTCTACAATAATCTGGGTTAGGTTTAAGCGCTTTTTTAAAAACATGTTATTTTTTGTTCCAACACTTCCTTTGCTAGCTCTGTCATTGCATTCGGAGTCATTAAAACCAGTGCATTCCTCAAACCAAAGAGGAATGCAGGACACAGTGTAGTCTCCAGCAGCTCCCAACACCATAGATAAAATCCTGTTCAATGAAGAATGATATGAATAAAAATAATGGCCTATAAAAATCTATTTTAAGCTCTTTTGCAGCAGAGGTGAAAATTTATTGTGAGTAGCTGTGTGAATGTCATAAGGGACAGAATCTGGTAAAGATAAATGCTCAGAATGGCAGGGGAAGTGAACAGCAATGCCTGCTCTCCAGAAAAATCCATAATTCTAGGTTAGTAACTTAGAAGGTAGTAGGGAATCACTTTTTAAATAAATGTTTTCAGGAACTAGAATGAAAAGTAGTCTTTAAAACTGTAGCTGCCATTTTTAAAAATCTTGATTCATGTCTTCTGGATGTTCACTAGACTGGCATCTACGCTAAGCATGAGTGCCCAAGAATAGACCAAGGCATAACAGTTCTGTGGAAAAACCGCATCTGGAACAAAGCACAGATCACATCCTCCACCCTGCCGTGCTCTCCATCAGACATCGCCACCCACAACAGTTATATTTGGATTATCCTTTGCAAAGGTCCCCCTGTTGCAACCCACCCCTGGCTTGCCTTCTCAAACACAACGGCTAGAACTACACCTGGAGATGCAGCAGTGGCATGGCCAGCCAAAGCAACGCAGGACCTTGCATGACCAAGAACAGGCATGACTTTGTTCACCACTAACCTGCTGCAAGCAGGCTGCATTGCCAGGGAGACCCAACTTTGTGGTAGACAGATTTGAGAACACCTTGGTCTCCTGACAGTTCCCAAGAGTTAAATATGGCTTGTAAGACCCAAAAGGGTACTAGCACAATAAATGCTTTGATAAATGCACTGCTACCCTTGTTGTCCACCCAAGTGGCTGAATTGGACAAATTCTGGAGCTCAATCTCACAAATCCCCACGTGTAGTGGATTCTTCACAGTTTTATAAACAGAATGAAAGGAATTCCCTCTCACCCCACACTCTCCTTTTCCAGTCTCTTAAGCAACCACACTACAGGTCTTCTGTTTCTAAAACTGGAATAGAAATGCAAAATTAAGAGTTTTTGCCACATGCCAGCACTTCTTGAAAAACAACCCAGACACTTCTGGCAGGGTCAGAAAACAAAGCTTTGCTAACCAGAGGATGAAACACGCAGATAGAAGCATGCAGATAGCTTGTAACGTAACATCTGAATTCCTGAAATATGGGGAAACTCAGTTCTTTATTTCAAGGTGTCATTTACTGTCCAGGATGACCCTTTGGGGTTTAGCCTAAATCCTCAGGCTGCAATTTCAACAAACAAACAGATTTCCTGTGGTAGCTAAGGGCATCTCCCACCTTTCTGCACTGTTAGAAAGTCAACACCCCAACATCCCATCACACTTCATCTTCAGTTTTGTAATCCTGCTTGTGCAAGAGAGGACGGTGAAGGCAACACAGGAAATAAAATGAGGAGAAATAGATAAGCTAACAATGCAATGTCTCAATACAAGAGGGGAGATGTTATTTTTCTGCTAAGAGATGGCACAACAACAACAGCAAAATCTGTCAGATCATTCCTTAAAGGCCTCTACAGCACACAAATATGAAACAGTATTTTTACAGCATCATTGTCCTCCTCAGTAAATATAAAGTCACCGCACTGCCTTCATGTGAAGACTGCAGATTTACTCAGACAAGTGCATAAATAGTTATTTTTCTGCTACAATATAATCAGTCATTCATCATCTCTGGATTTTATCTTCCTCAAAGATTACTGGATCTAAGCATGAGACACACAAAGGAAAGAGGAAGAGGCCAGGACAGACAGAATTAGATTAAACATTCCTGTCTCCACTCAGCCCTAGAGCTGCCATGTGCAGTTCTGACTGCTAACACACTTGGTTGTTTTAGAGTTGTTTTTTTCTTTCAAATAGCTAAATGCGGAGATATGCAACCTGAACGTAAGACTTGAGGGATACTTAAACTATAGCCCTTATGGTTTAGTTAAAAACTCCTGAGCTAGGTTTACACCAGCCCTTGAATGGCTGCAGTAGCAAGGACCAGTAGGTCAGCAAGTAGCAAGTGACCAAGGGTCAGCCTTGTCACCAGAAGCATCACATTGTGTTTTTACCCTGGAAAATTATCAAGTCCAAAGATGTGAGGGTCCTAGCATGGGGCTTCACAATAACAATTTAGGTACCAACTTCTACCAGCTCCCATCACCTGCTGCTCACTCTGATAAAGAAATTCCTATATTGGAAGAGACAGTGAACAGTAACTTTCTCCTTTCTTTATGTCACCTATAAGCCTTGAACAAACCCATGCTCATCTGTTTTCCTTGCTGAGGACTCAAGTTCTGAATATTTTAACTTTATTTCTAAATACTTTGCTCCCTAGGCTTTTGGGACAATATTCTTTTCCACAACAAAGAACAAATCAGTTTCCTCGAAAAGGCAGTGTAAGTGCCAAACCCTGAACTCCATGGCACATAGGTGCAACCATTTTTCTGTCCAGTGAAAGCAAACAGCTTGTCTTCTAAAGGAGCTATTCAAAGTTACCTCAGTTGACTCGGAACTGATAATATACACATCTGAGACTTTTTCCACATACTGAGTTTATTCTTGGCTAGCCACCCAGTTTAGCTTTACTTTAGTACCTGGAATTTAAGGTTTGCATTATGTATGAGAATTCAGATAAGCTTACTGCATTAATTATTCCACACAAAAGAAAACCTGTCATTAGCAATACAATGTATCATTTACATCATCATCATAATTACAATTTCCTTTCTTCCAATAAATTTGGGCATAATGACTGCATCACTTTGCCATTTTGACTCCTTGGTTTTAAGTTACGGCTTCACAGGTATGCTTCTACGGACTGCAACAATTTTGAAAATGAGTTTTATCACATGAACTTTTGTCTGGGATCCATTACAGTGTCATTCTGCCTTTCCCACTGCATCTAGAATAACATGGTTTCAAAGTTCAGGGTGCTCTGTAAAAGCAATTTATCTGCCTTGGGCATGCCTGGGCTACTAGCTTCTCACTTTACTATATGAGACATCTTCCAGAACGTTATTAGTCCAAGAGGGTTAAAAGAAATTAACACACAGATGAGGGGGTTTTGGTGTTGTCAGCAACAAACACATTCACATACATATAAGTACTATGGCACTGAGCAAGGAGTGTTGATCATGGCACTACTCTAATGAGCTTGTAAGATCATGCTTTTGTGCTAAGTAATGCACAGAGTAATCTTGGCATTTCTGTAAACAGTTTAAAAAATAAGTATTAAAGAGGATGTAAGACTGGATAAGGGACGCATGGGGTGAACACTGGTAAAGGTCGATAAAATGAGCAGAGACAAAAGTCACAGCTTTAGCGGTCTCAAAAGGTATTTAAATGCCCACCTTGCACAAATGCCCAGGGGAATGGGACACCTAGGAAGGAGAGAAGTCCTTTCTATTATTAGGCTTAAGAGAAAGAGAATGAAAGAGGTCCTCCAACTTGGTGAGGAAAAAGTCCTGGGAATCTGGCTTACTGGAGCCATGGTGACAATAGGGTAATGTTGAGCAGCAAAGAGGAAGATCAAGGTAACCATCATATTCAGTAAGCTCAATGGTATTAGAAGTGAAAGGCACAGCAGACAGACATGTAGAGTCTGTCGTAATTTCATCACATGAAATGATGTGAACAGTGATCAGAAAGAGCTGTAACAAAAAGGTAAGTTAGAAAGACAAGCTAAAATAACAAACAAACCAACCAACCAACCAAACAAACAAACAAAAACCACTATTCAATGCCATGAAGAGATGATTTCCAGGAAAAGCCACCATGTCACAAATACCCCTTTGTTTTTTTTTTTCCCTTGAGGGAGAGAAAGGGCCAGTCAAGTTACAAGGAGCAGAGGTACAGCCCTGTGAATACAGTGCTCCCTGCTAGGCTGGCTGCTTCATCACTGCTGTGCTCCCGCTCCATTCATCCTAAACTCATGGCCACCACCCATCAAGATGGAGCACAGAGTGCTAACCCAGCAGCCTCATCAGGGCTGCACTCCGGTAACTAAAAGACAAGGACAGTCACTAGCAAAGCTCTTGGATAAGTAATGTCTCAACACGCTGCCACAGCCTACAGAATGAATTTGTTTATTGTTACAGAAGGCAAGACAAAGATCTCAAAAGCACCCCTGTCCCAGAGCTCCATCAAAACAAGTAACCCAGTATATTCAGATTTACAAGAGGAATGCGGTCATCTTCAGTTAAGCTGCTTTCCCAATTATCAGCACACTCATAAAAAACACCATAATAAAGAAAATCCACATGAAAAACCTGTCCATCACTTTTGCTACTTTTTTCCATTCAATTCCTTTGGCCCGATTTGCTTTATGGTCTCGGATACAATTAGCAATAAACTCAATATTCTTAATCAGCATTTTGTAACAGGAACAGCAGTTGACAGTCTCCCTAGCATTTTCACCATGAACTCCATAGCTATTATTCAAATTTCCATTGAGCTTCTCCTTGAGATCAGAGTCATCATTCCGATTGGAAAGGGGACTCCTTACCTCTTTGCATCTCCTCTGACACCCATCACCCTCCTCTAACTTATGTTCTTCCTCCTTCTCTCTTTTTGGACTTGTGCAATTCTCACCCACATCATAGACAAAAAAGATTTTTGACATATAGTCCAAAATAACTACCCTGGCCCATTGTGGAACAGGCTTTGCTTCTGAGCCACAGTAGTGGAGATTCATTATAATGATCGTCAATGCAGTGGAAGCTGTGATCATGGTCATAGTTGCTATGTAGTACTTTCCTGAAACATAGAATAAAATCATATTAAAGATGCTACCCTAATAAAAAAAAAAATATCAGTGCAGAAATAACATGATAATATAGTACTAACCATAAGTGCAAATGAAACCAATCTTTAATCACCCTTATTCTCTATACTTAGAACACACCTAATTTGTCATTTAAAAACAAAGATTAAAGCCATTAAATTCTCATACTCATTACTGGCATGCCTTCATCAGATGATTGACTATTATATTAGCAGGGTAAACATTTGCAAGCCAAAACCTCAGACTTCTCAAAGTACACCCATTCAGAAAACACCTTAAAAATGTTTATCAGGAGCCTTGCTCTTTTTTTGATGTCTGTAAACTCCCAACGATGACGGCAAATTAGAAATCCCACTTCCTGATGCATTAACAAAAGTGGTGATAATGTTTTGTTGGAGCTATTGACACATGCCACACTAGCAGATGGATGCCTTCACATCCAGTGAATAACCAGAACTTGCTGGTATCCACAAGGAGTGTACTGACAGCTAAGGGGCCAGGCACAGAGCTGAAGGGTGGCTCCCTCTGTTGTCTGTTGAGATTTGCTGTCTGGATTTTCTTCAGACTGTACAAATTTTATCACAGCTAGTCCAAACAGGGACAAAGCTCATTCTGGCCAGGAATAGAGAGCAAATACAGTGAATGCAAGCTGCACCCCTCAGCTGCTGCTTTTGCTTTTCACAACTGAGGTACACAGCTGAACAGCAAACCTCTTGTGGGTTGTGCTTGTGCAAAGAGGCAGCTCCCAGACCTGCTCTGCTGCTGTGCAGCCTCTGCAGAAAAAGCAACGGCTGGCATTGATGACACAGGATGCATCACAGACAAGTGTGATGTGATCCCAGTTTTCAAACCAGTGTTTTGTCCCAGTTAAGCCATGCAGTTTTTCAGATAAACTGTAATAATGAGAATAAAAATAATGAGATCTGAATTATCTTAATGAAGCTGGAACCAGCATGGAGACAACTGTGCTTCTAGTCCTCCAGAAATCCCACCAGGGCAGCCTGGCAGCTTCCTGCTCCAGGGTCAGATCAGCCAGGGGTAGGAGGAGAGTCCCAGCAGAAGGCAGATGGGACGGAGCTGAACACCACCCTTCTCACTACATGTCAGCTCTTCTGAACTCTCAGCTGTAGATTAAAATTCAGCATAACAGATTGCCAGGCATAACAATTCAATGTAACAATTGTCAGATTTTAAGCCAACCCTAGGTGTCCCAGTCAGGCCACCTAACCATCTGGATCTAACAGAAACGTAGCTTGAAAGAGTCTGATCCTGTGTGTACAGCTCCTGCTTACAAACTATATGCTGGTTCTAACATTGTTTTTTTACTAGCTTTATCACAATATGTGATATAATAACTCTAAATGTCTAATTATATTAGGAAATAAAAAATAGCTAATATAAAATTTAAAATAAACAAAACTTTCAAGAGTTTCCGCATACCTGTACAAATTCCACACACATTTGAAGTATTTCACTGTTTTCAAAAATGAAACACTTTTGTCTTTCCAGAAGCCACAGATTGCATATGGCCTTCCTGACATTAAGCCCTGCTATTAATAAGCCACATTTGAAAACAAAGCATGTAAAGCTCACCTATCAAAGGTACGTTTTCAGAGGGAGGCATGATCTCTGCAACCATCAGCTGGAACACAGTCAGGGCAAGAAGAACCGTAACACCCAGAGACACTTTTTCCCCAGAATCTGCAGGGAGATAGAATCCCAGTGGGGCCAGAAAAGAGATCAAAATGCAAGGCAGCAAAAGATTAAATATGTAGAATGAAGACTTCCTTTTCAAAATCAGAGTGAAGGTCACATCTGGATAAGGCTCAGAGCAGCAGCCATAAGTGATGACGTTCTTAACTGCTGGCATACCATGAATCTCCCATTCCACATCTTCTACAAAGTCAGAAAGGTCACCACTATCGAGAGAATTGATGATGTCCACCTGATTACCATTATAGGTCCAGGACCCAAATGTAAGGTTACACTGCTGGCTGTCAAAAGGAAAATAAGATACATCCACTACACATGAGCTCTTTGTGATAGCAGGTGCATCCCAAGTGATTTTTCCATCATATCTTAACACAACATTAGTATTCACTGGTTCTGAAAAGTCATCATCAGCCCTAAAAGACAGAAAAGTGACAGTCAAGATCAACAGACAACAACTTAATGTGTGGGCCAGGTAAGAGCAGGGGGAAGACCCTAGCTGCACAGCATTAAAAGCATGCTTCTGAATTCTTATTATTTATTTATACTTAATTTTATTAGGAATTCACTATTAACTACTATTTACAGGTACCAGTGCTCATTAATGCCAAATATCAGTGCCGCAAAATTGTGTTGTGTGTTGGCCATTAGCTTCTCTAAACTTGACCTCAGACAGGATACAGTAGGACAAGAATCCATTCAAAGATTAAAATAATCTGCTCATCACTACTGGCCTGGAAGAGCAGACAAGGAGTGCAGCCTTGCATGTACCCATCATGTACCACCTTTTTGGGGACACACTGTCTTCCAGAGCTCTTCAGCAGCCTGAGCAGAAAGCACCGACTGCCAGGGTATTCATTCCCAGTGCAGACAAAGTCAGAACAGCTTTGCTGTGTAGTATAATCAATTACTAAATCCTGTCTATGGCTTTATTGCAAAATATTTAGATGATCAACAACAAATGTTAAGACAACAAACAAACCCCTTGCTAAGATAAGGTGCAGTGATGGAAGTTCAGACTCTGCGGGTCAATCCCTCCTTCAACCCCTCCCTCCCTCAGAGAAACATTCAAGATCCTTTTCTCTAGCCACACTCACTTGTTATATAGGACAATATCTGGTCTCCAAACCAAATTGCTTGGAATCCTGATAGAATCCAACCCATCATATTTATCTTTGTCCCATTTGAGGTATGCATCATACCAGCTTTGTCGAATCCATAAGTAAGCTGACAAAATTTGGTTCCTTTCATCCTGCATAAAAATGTAGAAATATTTCTAGCTGAAGGTGACAAAATCACATCTTATATGCAGACAGCATCTGTTATATAGCTTTAAGGTAGTGCCCAAAACAGGCCAGAATGCTGACAGGCCACAAAAGTACTTCTCAGACAGATACATATGCCCATACACTGTACAGGGAGCTTATTTATTTAGACTTTCTCCTGTCAAAACCTTCTTCCCCCTACACCTTTCCCAGCTTTAATCATAGTTGTCTAAGAATTTCCTTTTGCGAGCTTCAGAATATCAAACAGATAACAGAGTCAGTCTAACAAATTCTCTGAAAGCTTGGTAAGGCCTTGAAGTTGTAATTCAGAAATCACAGAAGCGGTTTTCCATTCTCCTTCCAGACACATTTTCTTTTGCCTTAAAAGTATGTCTGGCTGAACCAAATTTATAAAAATGTTACTGAAGGCTAAAATGGGGAGTTTATGTAGAAATTAATTGCATCTTAGAAAAATCATTTACTCTATTTAAAACTCAGCAAAAGTTGCCTGGAAGGTGCAATACCAACACCTCACTACAAAAGAAGTCCTAATATTTCAGCAGCTGTAAGTTTGCAGACTTAAAATGAAAGTCACTGAAGTTGTCACAACAAAATGCAAGTTGCTTTTCCTGCTCCAAGCAAAGGATTTACAGCTAGTACATTTCTGCATTTTTAGGGAAAAAAGAACTGTACTCTAACTTACCATGTCTTTAATTTGGGACAATGTGATCTGAAGGGTAACATTCAGTACTTTATCTGTGTCTTCCACTGGTCTTAGAGCATTTGAGTAGTCTTCAAACAGTTCATTAAACAGCATGTGAGCATATTTTCCCTTGGCTGATTCTACAGCTAGATAACACAGATTTGTTCAGCACATCAGATTAAGCACTGAGCAGTATCAGAAAATATTCTTTTTCTACAGCTTCAAGTAGTATTTGCTATAACTATATTTATAATTTATATACTGTAGAATATCATCTAGTGCAGAAACAGAAGTATACCTGATGAAGCTATTCAAATAAGGACAGCATTCACCTGTAGTAAACGAATACCTAACTCTAGCTTTTCACACCCACTAAAAAATATCCAAACAACAAACCCCTGCATCCAGAGAATCCTGCCTGGTTTTGAAGGTAAATATCATTACTTTTATTTTACTGATGTCTTTAAGAGTCATTATTGACTTACAGTCACATATCTGCCAAGCTAAAAATCAGAAGCTAAGTCTGAAGTCAAACTTGCTCTCAGGCTAATGACTTCTGATATCTCCCTGAACGCAGCACTGGTAGATTCACGCTCCTTTCAGAATTTACTCTTTAACTACCACCTGAAAAAACTCTGAGCTGCCTTTTTCCTACAAACTAGCAACTGGATGATGTATGAACACATCCTTATACTAACACCTTTCCCAAACCATGTATTTGGAGATGTTTCTGGCTACCCAGATTTAGTCACTAAGGGTAATTCACTGAATCTTTAGTTTTTAAACTACACTTGCTGTTCCACACTGTTTTATGCATCACAGTTTCTGTAGGCAGTCTCCGTATTACCTTTATATAGATTCACACATTTCTGCAAGCAAAGGGCAAGGACAGTAACACTCACAAGACTTGCACAAATGCCAGCTGGCACTACGTAGGGAGCAAGTGCTTTGGAGTACATCACTCTCTGGTGACTCACAAGGACTTCCTGGACTAATGAGAGTTCAAAGCAAACCTCCATAATTAAAAAGAAATCCTAACAAATCAAAGCTTCACAAAGAGCATTTAAGTTCTGGCTATACATGATCCTTCAGTTTGTCTATGCATCAGTAAAAGTAAAATGAAATAGATTAAATACTTCTGGAGCTCAAGTAAGACACATCGGGACACCAGCTCTCATCAGAGTAAAATAAACCTCAATGCACCATTTAGCTATCAAGTAGTATTCTCACCTTGAAGCATCGCTGCTGTAAACAGCAACCAGGGAGAGATGGAAAAGGAGGACAGGTTATTTCTCTTCATTTCTGGACCTTAAATAAAACTGTTCACTTAAGGGCACAAAAACGTTTATCACCATCCAAAACTAACAAAAAAAGCCTCCCAAAAAATCAAGTTGCACAGCAATGTAAAGAAGCTGAAGCACTGATGAGCTGCTAGAAGCAACTCAGTCCTCCCTCAGCAGCTGTCAGTCCTAGAGTGATCGATGGGCTTTGTCCCTGCCACCGCCTGGGGCTCTGATAAACCCTCCGTCTGTAACCTGAGAGCTGACTGCTCTGGAGCAAATGCTGAAGGAGGAGACAAACGGATGCGATAGCAGTGGGAAAACGTTATTCCATTGTACTGTTTACTAAAAATGTAATATTTTGACCGATTTATGAAGAATCCTTTCACACTTCTTTGGTGGGCCATGTTCTGCTGCTTAATACTGTTCAGTAATGGGTTGCTCAGAACCAGTTCTGTGGGTCCTCACAACAAAGTGATCTGTCTCAGTACGTCAGTTGCTATAGTCACACTATGTCACACATCCAGTATGTCACACAGTAAAAAAACCCAAACATCTACCCCAATGGTCAGAATTTCATTAGGTCTGTCTGTATTACTGATGCTGCCAAGGTAGTTTCCTAGTACTACAGTAATTTTCTTACAAGTTTCTCACAGACAAGAGATGACTTCCTCATTTCCATAGTCCAATCCATCCTTCTTGATATACCGCAGTATTTTACCATTCTTTTAGAACAAGTAACAGAAAATAGTCACTAAAATAGAAAGGTGGAAATATAGAACTACCAACCAGCAAAAATAATTGGTCCAGAATAGTTCTGATCCACACAAAATATGAAATATTGTTGCTTTACTCTTGTGTAGTCTTTTGGCTAGAAGAAAATTGATCCCTCCATACACATAATTTCCATACAGTAGCACTTCTGGCACTCACTGGCTAATGCTTGTGTTTTTGTGAGGTCTATAAATCAATGACATTTATGGTCAGGTTTAATAGGTAAGCAACAAATAATTTCAGTCAAAGCACCTGTAATGAAGTCAATCTCCATAATTTCATTTACTGAATTGTCAAAGGGGGAAAAAGAAAGCAGAAGACAGTATAGAAGTCAAAAAGGTCAGAGCAGCCCACAGGCAGTATGAAAAACTGAAACCTGCTTTTGAAAAATGAAACCTGCTTTTTCTGTGGAAAAAGGTACATGCCATTACAGACAACAAAAATCAGAGATGGAAGATGGAAGATTTTTGGATACTGTCAGATCAGTGCATTCTCAGGGGATACCTTTAGTCTACAGTACATTGTCATTATGTCCACAAGTAGCTACTGCTTCGCTTCTCTTACTGTAATTACAAGAGTGACCGAGGGTGCTGCTTTAATGGGCTGCTATAAACACTGCTGGAACCAAGACTAAGCTTGCTCTGGCACAGGCTTGAGACAATCTTGCAACCTGTTACACCAGCAGTACATATCTGCCAAGTAATGAAGACTGGTGTAATTCATTCTACATATGATCATGTATATTAAAGAACCCTGCACCTTTATTGTAATCACATCTTCTTAAAGGGAAACTGCAGGTTCTCAAAAGACAAAAACAAGAAACATGCCTACATGTGTTATTTACTCAATTTATTCTTATACACAGACATATATTCTATATGTAATTAACTATAAACTTACAAAGGGATAGACCATAACCTCTCAGTTATGAACTATCCTATTTCCATTCATCAGTCAATAGTTGCTACATATTGGACACACAGGCAGGCAAATATGAGCACACATATAAAAGAACACACTTGTTATGTTTGAGATGCTGCATTGATTACACAGTGCTTGTAAAAATAAAACTAACACACATCCAAAAGCCTTTTCAATAGTAAAATACAAGAAATTCAACAATCTTAGTATGCCAGATAATTGGCTTCTTTACCTTTGTTCACAATAAATTATATCTGCAATTTTAATCAAAACGTCCCTAATGTAGAAATTTTGCGGGAAGAGCGAATATTAACATTATCTGTTGTTCATCAATCTGAGAGATTCATCTACAAACCCATTGATCTTCGGAATATAGTTTTAAATTGTGGCATAATCTATGGCAATACTACTCCCAGATCAAATATCCTATTTAACATTTGAACTGAGCTTAAAATTATAGTTAAGCAGTTCTCTATTTTCATACTAAGAAGCTCTGTTATGAAGTCAGGAATCGAGCCATTAACCTCTCCCAGAACTAGACTCATTCCCGACAAAATTCAAAGTTATCCCGTTAGAGTCCATCTGCCAGCAGATGGCCCTGTTCGCCAGCCTACTGATCTAACCAGATATTCAAGACGGTTTTTGTTTATCACACAGAAATCACATTGCATTTTAATCTAATTCGATTAATTTCGCTGATTATTTGCCTTACATTAGACACAAGACAAGCAGAAACAAGATGTTCTTTTTAAAAAAAAAAAGAATATAAGCAGAAGGAACAAAACCACTCAGTGGCTGAATCTGGCTCTCAGGTCTGCTTATCATACATGAGACCAGTCACGAGAAGGTTTCGGAGCGAGCAAATATGTATATCATTGTCACAATTGTACAATATGAAACCATCTTTAGAGCACTGGCCGCTTCTGCTGGTCAGGCAAGCAGATAAGGCCCACAGCACAACATCCAACCTTGCTTCCACGTATTTTGTTCAAACATTTGAACTTTTAAGGACGCGTATGCTCTATTCAGGGAGCAGGACATTGTGTTCGTGCTTACATTCAGTGGGATAAGAGTGCACCATTCATTGGTGCACTGAGCTTCCGCAACATTTGTGACAAGTAACTTTTTATGGTTCTAGACAAACACACATGCTATTATCAAGACATCATCAAAAAAAAATCTGAATTCAGTGTTCTGCCATGTAAGCGTAGTTTGATTTTGCACGCACTTTAAGGACAGATTGAAGTGCAGATGACATTGGAGGCACCTCCTTCACGTTAAAAACTTCTAACTTTAGATATTTATCTTAGACAAACAATAAGCAAAGCAGGAAAGAAGTTTTAAAAAATTTAAAATTTTGTTCTTTTGATTAAAGAAATCTTTCCTCTCCTGCCTAAAATAACAATTTGTTCTCGAGGCTGAGGTTTTGACATGAACATTTTCATAATTTTTTTGGAATGGATTCTTATCCTTTTTTGCATAAAAAGCATTAAGAGTTTTTAAGCCTCCAAGTGGAAAAGCTACAGATATTGTATTATCACAGGCCTCAAGGCCATCTGTACCATTTCTAATCCATCCCTTCATCACAGAACAATAAAGAACAGATTGGTTCCTAGGCATAGTTTGTAAGAAGTGTCTCACAGTCTGGTTCTACTTGCCTTCCTGCCAGTTTTTCTCCCCAGAAGCTGTTGAGTTCATACTCTTCACAGCATTTGCTACAGAATATTATCTTGTGATGGGGTCAAGCAGCCCACTAACTCCTCAGACTTCTCCCCTTAGACTAACTTAAGTCTTAACAGCATGGGTAACAACAGCTCTTCTTGCCAGGAGAATAGCCTCACTGTGCCTGGTCTGAAGAAGGAAAATTCATTTAGATGCAGTGTGTTTCTCTCCACCTCATTTTTTCTCACCCACCTACTGCCTCCTCCTTTCTTCTCTCTAAAAAATCCCCTACCACCTGAAATCAGCATACTCATTTACTCATGTAGTTCTTCCACCTTGTTGTACGCATGGAAGACTGGAAATACATTAGGAACTATTCACAATATCAGACCATGAGATAATGTAGAATGTTAGTCACATTTTCCAGAGATGGGAAATCCTAATTTACATGTTACAGTTGTGAGATTTTCCTTAATATAAATTGTATTGGGGTCTACTTACACAGGCAGCTCTGCTGACCAGCTCCCAGCACCTGAAGCAGAGAAACCTTTTGCCCCTAGAAGCCTTGTATTATTTAATGTGATGTAAAATGCAGCATGTTCATCTGTGATGCTTCAAGATGACTGGTATTTTGTCTGTTCTTGAGAAGCATTCAGTATCTGGCAGTGTTAACAGCAAAGCAATTTTATAATTTTTGCTATCAGAAACCTATTTTATACACAGCTCTTTCTGATTGGGATAAATTTCCAGCTTTGTACCATGTCTTTGAACAGCTGATCACAGGATCTGTACTCTACACAAATACAACCTCTGGGCCTAGAAACTGTTCCAGATCACAGGTTTGCTCCGACAGGCAAAAGAAGCTGGACTGGAGAAATATTTCTACCCTGTAACAAGGGTCTAGATGGACTCAAGCGTCTTCCTATGTGTGATCTCCTGAGCCATGGAAAACAGCACACTACCTCCGCTTTCAGAAGCGGAGGGAAGATCCTCAGCTACTAGTGCAGGCTGAAGATCACTCTAGGTTCCCCAGAAAGCAATTTCTTCAGCTTGCATGCACATCACAAAAAAACCTGAGATTAAACAGGTATCTGAAGAAGCAAGACTGAAGCGCAACAGTTGAGATACTAACTCAAAACTTAAATTTTAACTCTCGTCAAAATTCAAAGGGAAGGATCATCCATTTAAAACACTGCTGAAGCTCATCATGTTTGCAAGGGTATCTGCATAGAGCATCCCCTGAAAACATCTGCTTTCCTGCTAAGTTCACATCCACCTTGCAACACAGAAACTCCTAATATTCAGGAGAAAATTGGTCTTGTACTTACCAACTGCCTCAGTTTGTCACATAAAAGACAACCTATAGCTCTAACAAGTAATTATAGATCAAGCACTGCATTTATAAGCACTGTTATCTGAAAATATGCCAGCCTATCAAAACAGGGATTTTTAAAAAGCTAATTACCTCTGTGATGGCTGTTCCTTAAAAACAAGTTACTCTTCTTAATGTTGGGATCAGAACTCGGCAAAGTTGATAATTATAGTTGATTCTTTGTCATCTCTCCAGCTACTTCCTAGATATTACTCCCACTTAGGGGAGCACAAGATCAAAATCTCTGGCTACAGCTATAGAACGTAGGTAGAAGTAAAAACAAAGATAATT